ATTCACCCGAAACTGTTGCATGAGTTGGCTGCGGAACTAAGTGGACAGCTCGCTATCTTGTTTCAGAAATCGCTTGAGAGCTGTGCATTATTTTCCGAATGGAAAGAAGCTGTCATCTGTGCCATCTTCAAAATGGGGACAAGAGTCTGCCTGCAAATTACAGGCCAGTTAGTCTGACGAGTGTAGTAGTCAAACTCCTCGCGAAACTGGTGCGACATTCATTGGAGAGTCGTCTGAGTAGATTTAATCTAGTTAGCAATGTACAACACGGATTCCGGAAGGGATTTTCGTGTCTGACGAATCTACTGGTGACTCGCGAAAGTTGGGCGGATGCAGTGGATAACGGCCATGCACTGGACGTGCTTTTTGTCGACTTTTCGAAGGCATTTGACAAGGTACCCCATTTGAGGCTCGCGCAAAATCTGACCTCCTACGGGGTATCTGACCGCGCCCTTCATTGGGTGACTGCCTTTTTGGTGGGTAGAGAACAGTGTGTATGGATAGGCCGTGCCATATCGTTTAGGCAGTCTGTCCTTAGTGGCATGCCGCAAGGCTCGGTCCTTGGGTCACTGCTGTGCTCTATGTATGTGAATGACCTGCCCGCGGAGTTTGTGTTACCATCGCTGCTATTTGCTGATGACCTGAAGCTGTGGAAAATTGTCGATGTTCATGGGGTTCCAAAGCTATTCGGCGAGCCTTGGATAAGTTTTGGGACAGGTCTACTTTATGGTTACTGCCCATAAATCAAGCAAAGTGCTCCTTTCTTCGAATTGGAGAAGGATGTCCTCCTACGAAGCACTTAATTGGTGGGGTCGAACTTCCCCGTGTATCTAGCCAGATTGACCTAGGAGTCGTACACTCTTCGGCTTTACATTCCGGCGACAACTGGAAGAAGGCCGCAAGCAGAGGTTTTCGCATGTTGTGGTTATTACGACGTTCTTTCGGAGTCTTGACGGGCGGCATTTTTATGAGACTGTTCTCGGCTTTCGTTCGGCCTCATCTGGAATACTGCGTCCAGGCTTGTCCGCCCTGCCTCGTCCGGGACAAAATGGAGCTAGAGAGGGTTTTACGAGTGGATACTAGGTTACTCGAGGGATTACGGGGACGGACGTACCCCGAGCGTCTACTTAGTTTGGGTGTGCATTCAATGCACTACCGAAGGCTTATTGGAGACCTGATCCTAACTTACCGTGTCTCAACTGGGAAGGTTGGTCCAGCTTTATCTGAGCTATTCAGTCCCGCTAGATTGTATATTCTACGCGGTCATTCCATGAAGCTGGACAAACCGCGGTCCGATCGGATTAGGACGGAAATCCGGCTGTCACGCTGAGTCATCGAGCGCTGGGACATGCTTCCGGAAAGTGTTATCAGGGAATCAGCGGTTAAGAGGTTTGAGCGGCAACTTGATGCTCTTGGGTGTCAACACGAAACCTTTCCATTATCCTGAGTAATGCGCATCTTCGTACTTCGATTTTCTTTTTTCTATTTTTCTTCACGCATTGGTATTATATTTTTATTTAAAGTGCACTTCTTTATTCTGTACCTTCGATTTCTCCTCCTATCCTTTGCTTACTTCACCTGACTGCCGCAACAGGGACTGCTAGGGCAGGAAATGTGGGCATTAAATGGTTGGCCAGGGTGCGAAATGGGTGTTTTCTTTTAAATTCATCAATAATTGAGCATTTCATCAATTCCTGGCTCAACGATCCACTCAAGATGGAACACTCACGGGATTCTCCTATCTTTCCAGTCCCATCTGAACTTGAACTTGAACTACTGCGGACCTTGGCTGTATTTATAGGTCTCTTACTGACCTTCGGCTTTTAGATTTGGAAGGTCAGCTACCAAGGTTGGTGGTTTCCCTTTCTTTTGCCGAAGTGTCGGATGGTTTTCAGTCACGTGCAGAGCTAGAAGATTCCGGAACGTTGGAAATCGATGCGATAATCGTTAATAATCGATTACTCGCTAAAATAGTGGATTTCCTAGGCAATTCTTACTTTCTTCCGGACACAGTGCACATGACCAGTGGAATTTTGCAAGGTTCGGCCTGAACTTTTCAAGCTCTTCGTAGACGGCCTTTCTGGATTACTTCAGAATGAATATCAAATCTATGCAGATGAGCTTAAGCTGTGGTCTGAGGTACCCGAACTTGACAACGCTGATAGACTACAGGACTCGCTAGATATACTGCACCAATGGTCCATCAAATGGGGCTTACCCATCAATTATGAAAAATACTGCGTCCTTCCAATACGTGCGTCTGAGCCACCCGGTACCTACCATGTTGGTGGTTTTCTTCTTAAGAGTACTTTTCAAGAGAAAGACTTAAGTGTACTAATTGCTTCTAACCTAAAGACCACCCCGGATACGCTGAGGAGAGTGGCCGCTGTTAACAGCGTATGTAATGTATGTAATCTCAACAGTCTATCAACTAGACAAGAGCCAACATAAAACCATGGAGATCAGCGGATAAGCAAGATTCATCGCGTCATAATCATCGTGGCTTGCTAGTTGAAGGTGAGCAACACACTTCAACTTATATGCCGCAGGAAGAATGGGACATCTTGACAAAAAGTAGAACAAAACATTTTTACTTGATTTTTCACACGCCGCTTTTGCTCTTTTTTGTCATTTTAATGTTTGTAGTATTAAACATGTGAATTAATACAATACTGTACACAATTTTTCCACTGATTCCGGTTGCGGGCCATGTCTTCAAGCGTCCTAAGCCATTGGCACACCTCATCTTTGGGTCCCCATCCTGGAAGACGTACGGATCCAACAGCGGCTAGACACGACGTCAGCGATTTCATGTGCTGCCGCCAAGTGGAAGGCTGACCACCACGCGGTCGCTTCCAGCCAGGTCCTTGACGAGCGAATAGAGCTCGACGCGGTAGACGATCAGGTGCCATGCGTAGGACGTGACCGAGCCATCTCAACTGGCGCAACAAAACCAGTTTGTTGAAGGGACTACTCGCATTCCCCAAGATGCGACGTCGAACGTCATTATTAACTCCACTATTAACTCCATGTTGCCACCAAACATGAGCGATCCTCCTTAAGCAACCGCTATCGAACGCAGAAAGACGACGCATGTCTTCCACGCGAATCGGCCAGGACTCGCACCCATACAACAATACTGAGCGAAATTATGCGCTGTAAACGCGGCCCTTTACTGAGAATGAGACGTCCCGACGACGTCACAAGTGCCTCAGATTGACAAATGCTGATCGAGCTTTAGCGATACGAAGAGAAACTTCTTTGTTGATAGTGCCATCAGCAGAAACACAGCTCCCAAGATAGACGAAACTATCTACCTGTTCAAGTTGTGCACCTTTGAGAGTGAGCACAGGAGCAGGCAAATGCCAATCCTTGAGCAGTACTTTGCACTTCGATGGGGCGAAGCTCATGCCATACTTAGATGCTTCAACCGCCAAACGATCCAGAATGAGTTGCATACCCAGAGGATCATCACCAAGTAAGGCGGTCGCTCGCTCACCCGGTAGAATCTCTAAGCCAAAATGTTGAAAACCTTCTTGAGCATTCAACAGAACGTCTTCAATTGCAAACTTGAAGAGGAATGGGTACATAGGGCAGCCCTGTCGCACACCGCTATTGACAGCGAATTGCGAAGAAAGCTTGTCATAGACCCTCACTCTGTTAGATGTATGAAGGTAAAGTGCTCATAAGATGGCGGTATATTTCTCTGGCACCCCTTTCTTTAGTATGCAACGTCATGAAGCAGGTCGATCAACGGAGTCAAAAGCGGCACGTATGTCTAGGAATGCAACGATAGTGGGCCTGTGATAAGTGTGGGGATGTTCGAGGAGCTGGCGGAGCGTGAAGATTTGATCCAGGCATCCGCCGCCAGGACGGAAACCAGCTTGTTCTTCACGGTAGTATGATTCACGTACTGGGGATAGTCTGCGAAGCAGAATGGATGCCAATAGCTTAGAGGCATCCGAAATAAGACTAATCCCGCGATGCTTTGCACATGAAGTACGAGCGCCTTTCTTGAAAATTGGGACAATAACTAATTCGCCCCAAGAGGAAGGCACTTTCTCTTCATGCCAAATTTTTGCGAACAGCGCGGTCAGCCGTACTTGAATAGTTCCGGTGGAAGTCCCTCTAAGCCGGCAGCCTTGAAGCGCTTCAAGTGTCGAATCTCGAGGCAGACTTCCGCTTCACTAGGTGGATTCATTGGGACGAGCCAGGGTGGACAACAAAGTGTACTGATGGATGGTGGAGGCCAGTTGAACTGCGAGTGAAAGTGCTCGGCCCAGCGGTCCGTACGCCACTCACCACGCACCATCATCATCATCACGCTCCAGACTCCGATGGCTGGGTCACGTGTTACGCACGCCAGCACACCGACTCACGCGACGTGCATTGTTTTCACGCCGGGTGTGCGGTTGGAAGAGGGGAGGCCAAGCAGTGACAGCAGAGACTAATGAAGGTCTTCACTTCGAATTTGGCGTGGGTTGGTGCACCCCGACTGACGGGCCGGGGTCCAGAGGACGATGAGCACGTTTGATTGGAGACACTTGTTCATGCGTGCTCTTTTGCCGGCAACTTGCTTATTCTCCTGTCTCACCTCGTCTCAAGCTGACGAAGATCATCTCGAGTGAGTCGTAGGGCGTTCTGCAGTTCAACTCACCGGCGCTTGTAAACCATTTTTATGCCGTCTGCAAGTATGATTGATATACCATGTTTTCTAACCGCTCTAACGTCCTTGACATAAAGCCGGAAAAATAATAGACCGAGCACACTTTCATGAATAATCTTACTGGTGATTGGACGCGGAGAAGAGTGATGGTTACCTAAGAGCGCACTTCATGCTTTTCTTTATACCTAGCTTCCTAAGCCAACTCATTAAATTGTTCGTTTTCCGTTCTCATTTATGCATCATTACTGTCGCAGCGCCCACTTCGAATCGAATCCATCCTTTTTGGATCAAGTACTCAGCTTCCAGATGTCTTTCAACTTTAATTTCTTTTCAAGGTCTCTGAACTCTCCTTGTCAATGAACAGTGTTGTCTATTGATCTGCTCACTGCACCAAATGTCTCGTCAGTCCGCGCGCACAACGGACTCAAAGCGCATCGTGAGTCTGCCTTTTCCTATGTGATGCAGTTTGTCAACAGACAGCAGAACTGTTCACTTTGACCTATGGGTCTTTAGTCGCAACAATTGTCAAGGATTTTGAGACCGATGCGGAAATCAACGACCAACTGGATAAAATGTAGATATCTGTTTTCTAATGGACGCTGTTTTCCTCTACTACGAAAGTGGTTTCAACATCGGTTTACGCATTGTTGAAGATTATCTCGCCAGAGGCAATTCAGGTCGGTGTGCAGATATGAAAGAAATTTCCGCCGCTTTGGTCAAAGTACGGTAACATCAGTCTTACTTCTTTTAAACTGTGAATTATCACTTCTTTTGGTCCTTTTTCATGGAAGATAGGTTGCAGCACTCATGTTCCATTCTGCTGATCCTCACTTGACGGAACGTTGTCTTTCGAAGTCACAGTGGTAGACAGGGTCTAATGTCATGGGAAGACGACCTAGCATTGAGGCTGGTTTTCGACTATTCATCGTTAAGACAAATAAAACCTATTCATGTGGTTAAGATAAAAAGAGCAGATTGAGTTACTAGAAAGTCCAGATGTCGGAATCACTATTATTCGTGTGATTTGTTCACACAGAAACTGTGCGGACGACAGTTGGACACACTAGATCCAACGCCTTGATGAACTGTTTATGCACATACAGCTGGAGCGGGTTGTTGTGGCGAATCGCGGCCGCCTCCGCCAATGCGAAGATTCAGCATGTAATAAGTTTGGAATGAACACGGTGGTTCTTGCTCGTCACTTCAGTAACATTCGACTGACTATATCTTACATACCGTATCGTTTATTTAATCTGTTACTCTCCGCCACATCATTTCCGTGTGCCCATCTACGCTGGTTAAGGTGGCCAACTTTTCTAACTAAATTGCAGGCCAATTCATTGGTAATGTGAACCTCTGCGGCGTCTAGTGATGCATACGAGTTCTCGATTTCTAGGCTTTTTTCAGCTGTGCTACTGGTTTGTCGGTTGGCTTTTGAGGACAAAATGCTTTACACACTTCCCATTTGGTAGCAGCTGAGGTTCCAATGTTTCGATTTAACGCCGCTGTAAGTCCGTCTTGTCGATCTCTAGCTTCTTGACATTACTGACGTCCTATCAGCCATACAACTTTAATCTCTGGCATCGTTTTCACCCCTTCTACCATCAAGCGTTTCAATTTCTTATCTTGTCTCAACTCCTTTGTTCGGACGAACCCTACGTGTTCACCTCTTGGTCACATCCGGCTCGCCATTCTCTATCTTATGGGTTACCATCCAAGAGCCGAGAAGAGGCCATATTAGTTTAGTTTAGTTTAGCTAAAGCATTAGGATCTTATCGTTTAATTACATTCAAGATTGCTGTGACGACAATCGTTCGATGTTGTGGTCGTCAAGTGAAGTTAGACGTGATGCGGCTAGGAAGAAGCGTACGTAAAGTTGATCGGTATGATCTGTTATCAGGTTGATCGTATACTTCTGAGCTATCCTGAGCTACGCTGGACATTAGAATCTCAAGAATTCGGCAGCCTCAGATGAGAGAACAAAAGGCAGATTTTTAACACGGATAAGGCTGTATATTGCATATTTCTACCTTGTGTTAAAAATAGAGCGACACCACTTGCCCCACAGACTAATTCTAGCAGTGCTCCTCGAGGTCAAGAACTTTTTCAACTTCACCATTTCCATTTTTTTGATCTACCTACTATGTTAACGCTACGTGCTAGGTTTTCCAGGCAACAGTGAGATGATTTAAGTAACTTGAAAATTCCCATTTAGGTCTCGAGAACGAAAGACCATCTGGTGAGTATTTGCTTTCAATGATTCATCATCATCAGACCATTACAGTCAGATGCTCTGTATGACAGCCTTAAACCGAGTGGCACAAGCGTCCCAAGACTTTACGGGTTACCAAGAATCCACAAAGCCAACATCCCACTTCGTCCTATTTTATCACTGGTCAACACACCGTACTATGCCCTCGCTCTATGGCTTGTAGAACTTCTTGGACCTGTGCGACAACAGCTCGCTACCTACAGCCTTCGTGACAGCTTCCATTTCGTCGAAAGCATCAAGAATGATAACATCAATAAGCAATTAATGCTATCTTTCGATGTCGTCTCTCTTTTTACAAACGTCCCACTGGTTGAGACGATCAATTACATTTGCGACTATATAGCCGGGTCAAGAATAAAAGTGTGTATACATACGCGTGAGCTCAAAGGCCTACTGTGACGCTACACCTGGAATCTGCAGTTTCTATTCAACGGGAAATACTACCGACAGAAGTACGACGTGGCCGTGGGATCCCTCCTCGGGCTACTATTAGCGGATATCTTCATGGCAAAGCTAGAGAGAACCAAAATGCGGGCGACGATATACCTTTTCGATCGCTATCATCGATATATAGACGATATATTTGTTATGGTGGATAAACGTTAATCTGGGTGAAATTGTTAACCACTTCAACCGAGTGCATGCATCAGTGCAGTCTGCTTACGAGAAGGAAAGTTATAATGGGCTACCATATCTCGATATCTTGTTAACTTGGAGACCAGACGGATCCATCCAGCGTCAGGTCTACAGAAAAACAAGGTGGATAGGTCAGTACACGAACTTTCACAGTTTCGTTCCTATGTGATACAAGCGCAACTTGGTTCACTCTTACCTCAAGAGCACGTCGAATCTGTACGGAAGACACCCTAGAGGCGGAGTTGATGTTCATACCGAATACGTGAAAACGGTTATCCCGATAGATTTGTTTTAAGGAACTTCCATGAAAAACCCAGGTCAATGCCAGTGTTAACGGCAGCAAAGAAAGCTATTTACTCGTTTACCATACAAAGGGGACGCGGCTACCGAGCTTCTAACCAGAAGCCTTTCGGCCGCGATAAAGTCGATCTTCCTAGTAGCCTCGTTGAATTGAGTGTTTTCGACAGAACCACTCATTCCTTCACAAAACAAGGATAATATGCCGATTCTGACCATCTCAATGGTAATTTATCAATTCGTGTGCGTCTGTGGCGCAACGTATATTGACCGAACGGCGCGGCAGTTATTCAAATGCTGGCTGGCCGAACTACCTCCTCGTGGTGCCAGCTGGGTGGTTCGGGTGTACCCCGTTCCAGCAAAGTGTTCGGCGACAATGTTCCACCTCGGTGGGACATTGTATTCCAGCAGGTGTGCTGACTATATGGGGAGTATTGGGCCCCTGTTTGGTAATCTACCAAACAAAGACGCATGAACTGAACATTCAGTCAACGCCTCCCAATGGGCGCGATTCCCTAAATTCGCCCCGCTGCCTTGCGGGTAGGTTATTTAGCCAAAGGCTCGGGGTGGAGTCCCCTAAGTCAACTCCCTACTTCGGCTTGGGCAACCGGGTAGTATCACGCCCTCTCGCAAAACCATGGACTGTATTACAACTTGCTCATCAGCTGCTGTTTCTGCTAGTCACTTTCACGCGACTTCATCACACGCCAATTGTTTGTTTGTTAACAATCCTCACTTTCCTTTACCCGATTCATGTGCTCAGCAATCTGGCTGCGATTCCGGTTGCGCCGCAGACCAAGAGGTTCAACCCATGGCTCTCCTTCGTCCCCGATCCTCGTTCCGTCTGGCGTGCTTCAACGTTCGGACACTCATGCAGATTGGACAGCAAGCCGGTCTAGCGCGCACTCTAGATTCCCTAGACATTGATGTCTGCTGCCTTTCAGAAACCCGATTGCAAGATCCCAGCACTGTGCTTACACTGACATCCCCCACTGACCACGAAGCCAGATATCACCTACGTCTTTCTGGAGATCCAGAAGCAGCCTCAGCGGGTCTGGCTGGTGTAGGTATAGCACTAAGTGACAAGGCCGAGGCGGCACTACTGGACTGGTTCCCTATTAACAGCCGATTATGTGCAGTTCGGCTTCGGGGTTCGTGTAGAATCAACAGGCACCGCGAAGAGAGACACAACTTGTTTGTGATCTCTGTGTACGCTCCAACTGACTGCAGTGGCGACTCGGTCAAGGACGAATTCTATCGGGATCTACAACAACTCTTGACTAATGCTAAAAAGTCGGATGTCGTTATCCTTGCTGGGGATTTTAATGCACGGGTTGGCCGCCTGTTACCATACGAACGCCACCTTGGTGGTCATCACTCGCTCGATGAGAACCGCTCTGATAACGGAGAGAGACTTCTCACATTGTGCGAAGACAACCGTCTGTTTCTTTCGAGCACTAACTTCAGGCGTACGAAGAAGCGTTCCGCAACGTGGCGTCCCCCTTCTTCAACACAACCGTGGTCTCAAATTGATCACATTGCAATTAGCTTCAGATGGCGCGGCAGCGTACTAGACTGCAGGTCCTTTTGGTCCACATTCGTTGACTCAGATCATGCTCTGGTATGCGCGAAAATCTGTATGTGTTTTGGAGGATCCCGAAACACGAAGCACCGCAAGATTGATGTAAGCAGATTAACTGATTCCTCTGTCCAGGCAAGCTATCAGTCTTCATTGGCATATGCACTCAGTTGCAATCCACCGCAAGAAGTGGAACAACACTGGACTTGTATACGGAAGGCAATGACCATTTCCGGACAGTCATGCTGCGGCCTAACTCGACGCCCATTGAAGGCTTGGATCTCTGCTCGTTCTCTGGAGCTGTTCGAACGCCGCAAAGATATCCCCGCGGAATCAGATTGCAACGAGCGGCGCCGTTCTGCCAACCGGCTGCTCAAGCAAAGCCTACGCAAGGATCGCGAGACGTGGTGGTCTGAACGTGCTTTAGAGATGGAGACCGCTGCCCTCTCTGGCAACACTCGCAGGCTTTTCCAACTCATTCGGTCCACTGGCCTCAGGAAACCTGGTGTCAGTGAGGTCATTTGTGAGGTGGATGAGTCTCCGATCACCAACCAACAGAGGCGTATGGACCGTTGGGCCGAGCACTTTCACTCGCAGTTCAACTGGCCTCCACCATCCATCAGTACATGCAGTACACGTTGTTGTCCACCCTGGCTCGTCCCTCTGAATCCACCCAGCGAAGCGGAAGTCGGCCTTGAGATTCGACGCTTGAAGCGCTTCAAAGCTGCCGGCTTAGACGGACTTCCTCCGGAGCTATTCAAGTACGGTGGTGTGGCGATCATTAACCAGCTGACCGCGCTGTTCGCAAAAATTTGGCATGAAGAGAAAGTGCCTTCCTCTTGGGGAGAATCAGTCATTATCCCGATTTTCAAGAAAGGCGCTCGCACTTCATGTGCAAATCATCGCGGGATTAGTCTTATTTCGGTTGCCTCTAAAC